ACACATACACACACACATATATACATACATACACATATATATATACATATATAGTAAGGGCTTTGGCAGAACAGCAAACACATGATTCATTATTTCCAAAAACCTGTTGTGCAGGTTGGCGTCTTAACCTAAAACTTTACGGCACAATGAGCTGAATAGCAGTCAGACCAGTTGGAGAGATGCTGTGTGCTGTTTACAATCTGCTGAAAACCTCAAGTCAAAGGGTTTCACAATGGGCCTTTTTCACCGCAGCCATTTACACGTGTCATAGCAGAGTAAATGTAATTATTTAGTGTATGCACAACACCAGACCAATGGACCAGGGGGCATAATTCATGTTATTCATTACACATGTCTTTACCCTGTAAAGACATGTGGTTGCTGTGAAAAAGGGGCCTATATACAGAAACTATATAGTGACAGGTGGCTCCGCCCACAGAAAACAACACTTAAACTGATCTCCCCTGCTGCTGTGCATTAAGTGTATTTCTAGACCGCTGTATTAACTATTATACTTCCTCCTTATTTATATACTGATGGAAAGTAGAGTAGAGCTCCTCTTCCGCACAAAATACACATGATGAGTCTAGTTCTCAAACGCGTGCTGAGAGGCTCTGACATTCAGGTTGTGTCAAAGTTGACAGGAGTGAAGAACCCTGACATCATCTGCACATTGTTGAGATGCCAGTCAGTCACTTTTGTCTCCCTCCCGAAAGGAGAGGAGGGGAGGGGGGGGGGGGGGGAGTTACTGACAACAACAACAGACCTACTTCAAACATAAGCAGTCATCTACAGCCATGGGCTGGAAGAATTACTCAGATATTCTACAAATTAACGTGTACATCACTTTAATACCGCAGCTGGCAAATTTAATTTAATCTATAACATATATGTATGTTTATATATATATTTTCCAGTTTCATAAAACTACTTACAACAAGGTCTGTTGATTATCTTGATTAATAAATAGCACCACAGGTAAGAGGAAAAATATGTATTTTTGATAACATCTACAGCAGCGAATTGCAACATACACATCATATATTATATAAATCCCTGACAGTGATCATTTTACTGAACACTATTTACTTTGACCTTTGATATTGTTAGCATATCTTGACGATAAGACTAACATATTTTTACTTCAGTACGGTTTTGAATCCAGTACTTTTACTTGTAGTGGAGTATTTATTCCACCACCGCAGATGACCTAAATATACAAACATCTTAATAAAAATAAGCTTTATTTTGCAGTCTATTCCACAAACAGACGAGAGTGTTTCTCACAGATTTAGCACAAAATACAGCAAACTGTTCTGTAATGCACTACCTTATCTCTGAACGACCTCTTCTCCAGGTATCCCTCATAGTAACAGGTGGGCAGCTGGCTCCTCTGTCGCGCTGTTAGCTTTTCCATCATGATGGTCGATGTCCACAATACATAAAAAGCTTATATACAGATTTGTCTGAGCCCTTCTGCCTGGTTGCGGTAAATCGCTCTTGTATATTAAAAGTGAGGAGGGAACCTGTGCGCAGCGTCCTCGCCGCTGATTGGTCAATGCGTGTGGAGTGGGCGGGTGCTTTTAAAAATATCCCCAGGTGAGACAGCTGTGCACGTTATGGAAGTGTTTGACAAGGATGGAAATCACCTGGCTGTGTGCCCCACTGAAACTAATCAAGCGGGAACATTTTGCTGTAGCTGGTTATATACGGCATGAAACTCACCAGAAAGTGAATTTAATTAATTACAATTAACAAACTACCCAGCTGTACATAAGGTGGTTAAAATTAGCTCCACCACCAACCTAATAGGTGAGAGTCCAAAAGGAAAAAATGTATATGTAGCTCCCTCTGCTGGATGAATTCGTTGTGGTTTTATCAATATAAAATATATGAGCATCATATTACTTGTAATCGCTCATGGAGAACCAGGGATGTGTTTTTAAGAAAGAAGCTGAAGAGCCAATTGGAACAAGTTGCAATCAAAAGATCGTATGAAAATCTCTTCAGTTAAATGTCTAGTTTATTTTAGTGACATGTTGTCTTGCTACACCTTTATTTAATTCTAGCATCCTTAACAGCATGTTATCACAATCTGCTTTTCGTCACCGGGGGACGTAAACCATCTCCAGCACTCATGAGCTTCCTCATCAGTGGAGCTCCTCCATAGCAGCAGCAGAGGTGTTGTGTACGAAGACAGATCTGGGATCTGTTGGTGTAAGCAGCAAGGTAAGTAATGTATATTTTCTGGTGTTATTTGTTGAGTCCATCGATTTGTATGGGTTTTATGTCAGTTTCCTGCCAGCATTCAAGGCTTTGACAGAGCCAGGTCAACATTTAAAACTTTATTTTTTATTATTATTATTTTATTTTTTTAAATAATTTTTTTTATTATTATTTTTATTATTATGATGATTATTATTATGTTTGTATTATTTTTTATATTATGATGCTGATTATTATTATTATTATTATTATTATTATTATTACATGAAGTCTACGCATGTTGTGTCAGATGTGCTATATAATTTAACTTGATTTAATCGTTTCATCTCTACTCTATGACGCTTCTATTACTGGGCTGCCCTCCGGCAAGTCACGTGACTGTGTGGCTTAAACGCAACTCTCCCTCCAAACGGCTCTGCTCTCTTCATCTTGGCACAGCACACCCTGCTGGTTTTGGAGCAGGAGGGGAGATATCTTTTCTGTCATCACCGCAATCTCAGAAAAAGGTGATCAACGTTACTTCTCAAACGATGGGGAACAGAGACGACGAGTATGACTTCTTGTTCAAAAGTGAGTGGAACCCAAACTGCTAGTAGATAGTCTGGTTTTGGTGTTAATTAGCGAGTAAACGTGAGGTTAGCATGCATGCTAACCGTGTTACACCGTCAGTGGTCAGCGTTAATATCAGCTGGTGGTTAGCGGCTAAGCTAACTGTAAGCTAGCCCAACGGCGCGTGTCGGTGCTTTAAAGGTGTGGTTATTTAGGTTAGGTGTTATCAGATGTCCTCACCTGTACAACCACACCTTTAAAGCACCGACAGTGGCATAGTTACTGAAATCTAAGATCAGGTGCATTAATGCAAAAGGAAACGAGGAGTTCCCTTTGTGGTGGACCTGAGGAAACTCACTCCAAATAAAAAGGAAACTCTTGTTGTGGCTTTGGTTTTAAATTCGACACCGTTAGCTGCTTCAGGTGTGTATTTGCCAAACACCTCTTTGTTTGAAGGCTAAGGGCTTATTTACACTCCCAAGTAATTATAATCAGTCACATTTTACTCCTTGGAATTTAGCTTCCTGATAACATGTGTTGACCTCCTTTTTGTGTAAACAAATGTATAAAATCTACTAACATGAAATGCGTACAAGTATAAGAAATCTCTGGATTAGAAGATATGGCATGTCATAAAATACTAAAAATAATAATGATACAAAAAATAAAACCAGAATCTGCATAGATGGATATAAACTAAACAGATAATTAAATCAGAAGAGTGCAGATCTCCGCCCTCAGCTGTGTTATCTTTAAGGGCCTCTACCGGCCGGGGGGGGCCAGTAAAAAGCAGTTATTGAAGGGGTCAGCAGGCAGTTACTGGCAGTATAGAACCATAAAAGGTGTTTTGAAATAGTACGAGTCACCGTAACCACTAGAGGTCCTTGAGCATGCAGCCATAACTGTCGACCCCAAAATATTATGGAGTTTGCCCCCGCAGAATGCCGGATTAGCTGTGGACAGACAGAGAGGCACACTCGCTCACACACGCATGCGACTGATTGCATGATTCTTTCTGGTTTTCAGACCTTGCTATCTTAACTGAAGTGGCATTTGTCTGAATAGGAAACGGCTTGTTGTTGTGTTGGAGCAGTCTTTCCACAACAACGTCACATGATGGCGCTTAACTGAGTGAAACTGGTCGAATGTGTTGGAAGAAGCTGCTCTAAGACTGATTCACAAGCTTTAGTAACGTTAAGTTAGCCCAGTTAACAGGAGAGCGAGTGGTTTACATGTGCAAGTATACGCCAAATCATAGGCTGAAGGTTAGATGTAGGGATTTTAATACTTAAGGAGTTCACTTTATCACATCTATCTAGTAAGTATAGTATTAAAGTACAGGAGAATAAGAGGCCCGGGCCAGTGTGGCAGCTGATTAGATAAACTGATGACTGGAACAGAGGCCTTGAGAAACTGTGGAGTCAGATTTCCCAAAGAGCAGGAAGGGCAAAGTGTGAGAATGATTTCTCCACACGGAAAGGAAAGCAGTAAAACCAGGTCAGCACTTTCTCTTTGCCTGGAAATGGCTGAATGATAACCTGAAAATAGCGCCGTCCTTTAATGATAGCTGTTTAGTGCATTTTGTGTAACTGTCATCATCGATGTCTGTAATTATCCGGTGGCACATTAGTCTGTTAATGTGCATCGTCATTTACAAATCAAGGTTTATTGTTTGAGGTTAAACTGGGTGGAGTAAAATGTCGTCAAACTTGTCATCAGCTGCCGCTACTTACCGTAAATAAAGACCAAAAGAAGTCGGTGTTGTTGTTGTTGTTGTGGGGTTTGGGTGCTGCTCTCTGCAGGACGGTATCTGTACTCAGCCGAAGATTGTTTATGAGGCAAGAGAAGCTTCACTCCGTGACACCACCGTACAACTGAGTGGTTCTGTAGTCCCAACGGCTCCAACTGAGTGATGCATCTTCTATCTCGCAGATCATGTGATGGGACTTTAGTCTCTGTGATATCAATAGTTAAATCTCTTTCATTTTGTAGTTTTGCTAAAATGGAGACCTGCTGGTTAGCTACTGCAGGAGCTTCAATTCGTGCAGGTCAGATGAGGCGCGTCAGTTATCGAGCCTTTCCTCGTACCTTTACCCTGATAAGAGTTTCAATTTGTTTTGTTTCCAGGTGAAAAACACTCCTTACATATTATTTTACAGTTTGTCAAATTACTGCAGGGCTGCTGTTTCAATGTCTTTGTGCCTTTTTTGTTTCCAGTCGTGCTAATCGGAGACTCCGGAGTGGGGAAGAGTAACCTGCTGTCCCGTTTCACAAGAAATGAGTTCAACCTGGAGAGCAAGAGCACCATCGGGGTGGAGTTCGCCACCCGCAGCATCCAGGTGGACGGCAAGACGATAAAGGCTCAAATTTGGGACACAGCTGGACAAGAACGCTACAGAGCAATCACCTCAGCGTGAGTTATTTTCTCTCTGTGTAAACAAGTGTACAGTGGGTACGGAAAGTATTCAGACCCCTCTAAATTTTTCACTCTGTTTCATTGCAGCCATTTGCTAAAATCAAAAAAGTTCATTTTATTTCTCATTAATGTACACTCAGCACCCAATCTTGACAGAAAAAAACAGAAATGTAGAAATGTTTGCAAATTTATTGAAAAAGAAAAACTGAAATATCACATGGTCATAAGTATTCAGACCCTTTGCTGTGACACTCATATTTAACTCGCATGCTGTCCATTTCTTCTGATCCTCCTTGAGATGGTTCTACTCCTTCATTGGAGTCCAGCTGTGTTTAATTAAACTGATTGGACTTGATTAGGAAAGGCACACACCTGTCTATATAAGACCTTACAGCTCACAGTGCATGTCAGAGCAAATGAGAGTCATGAGGTCAAAGGAACTGCCCAAGGAGCTCAGAGACAGAATTGTGGCAAGGCACAGATCTGGCCAAGGTTACAAAAGAATTTCTGCAGCACTCAAGGTTCCTAAGAGCACAGCGGCCTCCATAATCCTTAAATGGAAGAAGTTTGGGACGACCAGAACTCTTCCTAGACCTGGCCGTCCAGCCAAACTGAGCAATCGTGGAAGAAGAGCCTTGGTGAGAGAGGTAAAGAAGAACCCAAAGATCACTGTGGCTGAGCTCCAGAGATGCAGTAGGGAGATGGGAGAAAGTTCCACAAAGTCAACTATCACTGCAGCCCTCCACCAGTCGGGGCTTCATGGCAGAGTGGCCCGACGGAGGCCTCTCCTCAGTGCAAGACATATGAAAGCCCGCATAGAGTTTGCCAAAAAACACATGAAGGACTCCCAGACTATGAGAAATAAGATTCTCTGGTCTGATGAGACCAAGATTGAACTTTTTGGCGTTAATTCTAAGCGGTATGTGTGGAGAAAACCAGGCACTGCTCATCACCTGCCCAATACAATCCCAACAGTGAAACATGGTGGTGGCAGCATCATGCTATGGGGGGTGTTTTTAGCTGCAGGGACAGGACGACTGGTTGCAATTGAAGGAAAGATGAATGCGGCCAAGTACAGAGATATCCTGGAAGAAAACCTCTTCCAGAGTGCTCTGGACCTCAGACTGGGCCGAAGGTTCACCTTCCAACAAGACAATGACCCTAAGCACACAGCTAAAATAACAAAGGAGTGGCTTCGGAACAACTCTGTGACCATTCTTGACTGGCCCAGCCAGAGCCCTGACCTAAACCCAATTGAGCATCTCTGGAGAGACCTGAAAATGGCTGTCCACCAACGTTCACCATCCAACCTGACGGAACTGGAGAGGATCTGCAAGGAAGAATGGCAGAGGATCCCCAAATCCAGGTGTGAAAAACTTGTTGCATCATTCCCAAGAAGACTCATGGCTGTACTAGCTCAAAAGGGTGCTTCTACTCAATACTGAGCAAACGGTCTGAATACTTATGACCATGTGATATTTCAGTTTTTCTTTTTTAATAAATTTGCAAAAATTTCTACATTTCTGTTTTTTTCTGTCAAGATGGGGTGCTGAGTGTACATTAATGAGAAATAAAATGAACTTTTTTGATTTTAGCAAATGGCTGCAATGAAACAGAGTGAAAAATTTAAAGGGGTCTGAATACTTTCCGTACCCACTGTATATTGATGCAACTCTTCCACTGGAATAAAGATGGGATAGTTACTGTATTCATCTGGTTTTATGCTCTCACCAGGTATTACCGGGGGGCAGTTGGAGCTCTCCTGGTTTACGACATCGCCAAGCACCTGACGTACGAGAACATTGAGCGCTGGCTGAAGGAGCTGAGGGACCACGCCGACAACAACATCGTCATCATGCAGGTCGGGAACAAGAGCGACCTCCGCCACCTCAGGGCCGTGCCCACCGACGAGGCTCGAGCCTTCGCAGGTAAACCACCAAGCGCTGTGCTGATAAAGTAAGAACATCCGCTCTCGTAGTCTGTGAAATACTCAATATTTATCTTTCTTCTCTTCCCACATTAGAAAAGAACAGTATCTCATTTATTGAGACGTCTGCGTTGGACTCCACGAATGTAGAGGAGGCGTTCAAGAACATTTTAACAGGTAGGAAAAGCAAGACGTGCTGCTGTAGCTCATGAGACGTAACTCTTAAGATCTCATCATTTGCAAAATGGAATATCGGATAAAATATTTGGTCCAATGATGCTACAAAGTGGTGGTCGTTGATGGTCATCATCAATAATAAAAGGCACCAAAAATGCAACAATTTATTGAGCAAGGTACTGAATGTGGTTGCCAGGCAAACACACAGTGGAAAGCGTGGTTAACATTTGGGTTGAGATCATTATTATTTAGTGATTGTTTAAATTCAAAAGCCAGATCCTTCTAAGCACACCAGGTCTGAAAGCGTTAAACAGACCACATGGTCTTAACGTTCCCGGCTTTGTTTCAATATCTCTCTCAGGAATTTCTGTCTCCTTTCTTTTTTTTATCTTCTACCCTCTCAGTCTCTTTGCACCTTTTATTCACAACTATTACATCCAGTAAACAACCAAATCTGACATTTTACAACAATAATAACAATTTGCTGCAGTTATAAAGCTGTGTGTTTATCCATTTTATATGTGACTTTTTATGACATTTTATATAGCATTTTTAAACGAAATTTTTACGCCACATGATTTAAATTTTTTACACCTTTTTACAGCCGACGTCGTCATAAATATGCGTGAGCATGCGTGAGCAGCCATCCCGACGAGTTGGCAAGCTTTAAACATTAAATTAAAACTATTGGCAGCATCTAAATGTCTGGTTTCTGCATGTTCAGTTATCAGTCGATAATCCAACAGCAGACTCGAGTTCTACTGAATTCTGAGACAGGATCGCGATCGTTTCAGAGCAACAGGTGTTTCAGTTTAATGAGTGACCGTGCTAGATTGAGACTTCCTGCCGAATGCGCCCGTAGTTGCTCGTAGTACAAGAAATACAACCTGAGCCGTCTTGAAATGAATGTAGACGGTCCCGGATTTCAAATCTTTGTTTTCCTACATCATATTTGTCGGTGGTTAATGCCCTTGCATAGCTTGACAACTCTTGCACTCCGCCGTACTTCTGTTGCCAAACTGCGTGCACACAAACTGAAAGAGGAGCTGTGACTCTTGTATGACTTTTAATGACCACGGCTTTCGCCGGCTCGGACGCATTCTGTCTCCTTACATCCGTCTCTTTCTCATCAACACCTTGAGTGAATTTCTTTCAAATTTGGCACAAATGTCCACCGCCGGACTCCAGGATGAACTGATGACATTTTGTTAATCAAAGGTCAAAGTCCGTCATATTCTCGTGATATTTCGGGAACACTTGGAGTGAAGTTTTGTGCACTGATGGACGAACTGATTTTGGTGCCGTCAGTCACATCCTTGTTAATGCCAAATCTCAGGAACGCCCGGAGGGAATTTCTCTACATTTGGTACATACGTCCCGCTAAACATTTTGTCTGTCATACCATACCATGACTTCTTCATGACATGCCAAAGTATGACTCTGATGATGTTGTTGTGACATTTTTATACTAGACGACGTTTATATGACTGTTTTATGACATGCTACACTATGAGGTTTTATTTTTTTGAGCCATATTACACGATGACAATTTTTATAACTTTTGTTGTGACATTCTTTGACAAGGCATCATGTTTTCTGGTTGTTTGTACTTCTGTACGTACCGATCACTATCAAGGACCACAACTGAATTATAATGTGACTTTTAACGTGACTTTTTTTTTTTTTTTTTTAGACATTTTATATGAACTTTTTACCTTTTTTATGACATTCTGACATGTATTTATTTTTTTACATATTTATTAAATCAAAGAGCAAACAACTAGTTTGTCAGCACAGATCTCTGAAGGATTCATCTGACATTGAATTAAAGTAGAAAAACAGCAAATATATCTGTCCCTGTCTGAAAAATGAAATACTTTAAGCTGTACAGTTGGCTTAATGTTTTAATAAAAGGTTTTATTTTCCTACAACTGAGCATGTGCCCAGCAGTGCCTCAGCTCACACAGATTAAACTATTTATAAGGCGTTTAAAGAAATCAAGAGCATCACTGTGTTTTTCATGACTTTCCCTCTGCAGAAATCTACCGCATCGTGTCGCAGAAGCAGATAGCGGACCGATCTGCTCACGATGAGTCTCCGGGCAACAACGTGGTGGACATAAGTGTCCCCCCGACCACTGACGGACAGAAAGGCAACAAACTCCAGTGCTGCCAGAGCCTGTGACGCTCAACGCCACGACCCCCGACCTCCACCTATCCACCTCGACATCACATCACCTGTGCACTTTCTGTTCCTGTTGCTCCTAGAATTCTGTTTTATATAGAACCTTTGAACTCACTCGTGCTCTTCTCTTGTTTTGCCATGAATTAAAACTTTAAGAAGCCTTTATGTCACTCGGTCCGTGGAGTCGATGCAGGAACAGGGCCGTGCTCTCTGTCTTAATGAAGCCTGAGAAACTGTAAGTTTGATTGAACTGAAACTCTGTGGTGTACAGGAAGGTTGTGAAAAACATGTCAATGGTTACCACTAGATGGTGCTGTGTAAATAAACTACAGGCAGTTACTCCAACCTGGTGAAGCAGTGTTGTGCGTTTTACAGCCTGGTTCCTCCAACTTCATTCTGTCATCAGATAAGTTATCATGCCAAAAATGTCCTCTTTAGGTATTTATTGGAGAATATTTGGCTTAAGCTGTCATTGTTTTACTTTACATTTAAAAACTGTATAAATTTCCAATAAAATTCTTGACAAAAGTAAACTGTTTTGATTTTCTTACTGAAAATAAAAGAAATTAATACTACATTTATCTGACAGCTGTAGTTACTTGTTAATTGTCAACTACCCAATATAGTATTTGTGTCTCACTACAACCTGAAGCTTCAAATGTTTGACGCTTTCATTGGGCAGCTTCAGGTTGAGTAAGGAAACTCAATGATACGGATAATTGAGATACAACTTTAAGCTGGATGTTATTTTCAAACTTTTTCATAACAAGTACAAAAAAAGTCCAGTATAGTAAATCATATGAAGTCGTGTTCTAGAACTTTATTGCAATCGCCACATTCATGGAAATAGATCTCTGCATTTAACCGATCCGCAGCAGGTTTAGAGCGGTGGGTTGTGGAGCTGCTTGGGCTTCAGTGTCTTGCTCATGGACACTTGGACACGCAGACAGGAGAAGCTGGGGATCAACCGCAACGTTGTGATTAAAAGACAACCCGTAAGTCATAAATGTCATAAAAAAGTCAAAGTATAGCATGTCGAAAAAAGTGTTAAAAAAGGTCATAGTTTTAAAAATGTAAGTACAATATCTGCCTCTGAGATGTATTGAAGTAAAAAGTAACAAAGTGCACATACACAAAGTCTTAAAATTGTACTTAAATACAGTACTTGACTAAATGTAAAATACAAATTAAGTTAAGTTTCTTTGTTTTTATTCTGTTGAGGATTTGTTCACTTTGTTCCGGCTCTGAAACAGTCTGCAGCGAGGACGACTGTATTAAATACAAATAACACGATACTAAACGTTTCTTCCAGGGTAACAGTAGCTGAATATTTTATTATTAGATTTTGTTGACTCATTTTCTACATTAAAATCTGTGTGTTGGAGTAGAAATACATTTACAGACAAATAGAAAAAACCCATCGATCATAATGTGAAGAATCAATAATGTTTACACCGTAAATCACCAATAATATAGATTTGTTACATTAAATGAAAGCGTCTCTCTGTAGAACATCAAGTGTTTGTTCTACTCCGTGTGATTGACAGGAGAGATGATCAGAGGAGCAGAGTTTTTACCACCATCATTAAGACATGGACTAAAGTATGGGTAGAGTTTCTCAGTGAAGCAGCAGCCAGTAAAGGAGTAGATAAGAGCTGCAGACTTAACGTCATAGAAGGAGACCAGACCCTCCTCATAATCCACAAACACCCCCACCTTCTCAGGCTGAGGCTTCAGAGAGAGACGGACTGAAGGGTTAGCAAGAGCTTTGTACTCATTCTTATTCCTCAACCATATCATCCAGTAACCTTTCTGAGGACTCAGTGGGATGTTTCCCTTCCTGTTGATCGACTCTCTGACCACTCCTAAATTCCAGTTAGTCTTCCCTTTAACCTGAACCTCGTAGTAAAATCTTCCTGAAGAGAAACTCTGCTTTGCTAAAACATTAACACAAGTATCAAATCTCTCTGGATTGCCTGGAAGATTCTTCCTCATATCACCATGTTTAACTTGTTTTCCATCATCAGACAGGATGAGTTCAGGATTTGCTGTATCAGCATCAAGTGTCACATCCACTGCAGACTGCTGGACCCTCTTCAGCTCGGCCTCAGTGAGCAGCTTCTTCATCTGTTCACTGAGCGCCTCCTCCAGCTGATTCACAGCTCTCACCACAGCCCTCTCATGTGAAGGTGGACTGACTCTGACTCCTGTCCAGTCCTTGGTGGGTGGAGCAGTGTTCAGGGTCCTGAAGCTCTGGAGGAGGTGGACGAGGTGGAGGTGGTCTTCAGAGCGTGAGAGCTGCTCCACCTCAGTGCTTCTCTTCTCCAGCTCAGAGATTTCCTGTTCCAGCTCTTTGATGAAGCCTTCAGCCTGTTTCTCTGTCTTTCTCTGCTTCTCTTTGATCGTGTCGATGAGCTCGGCCTGGCTTCTCTCAACAGACTCCTTCAGAGCGGTGAAGACCTGAACACCATCTGCTATCTCTCTGTCTGCATCTTCCTCACTGAGCTCCACTGAGTGTTTGATCTCCTGAATCGTCACTGGTCTCTTCTGGATCATCTGCTGGATTTCAGTCTCAGTCTTCCCCAGCTCGGCTTTCTTTCCTTCATATTCTTCTTCCAGAGGAACAACATCATGTGTCTTGTGGTCTGAATAAGTGCAGAGAATGCAGACACACATCTGGTCGGTCTTACAGAACAGGTCCAGCTGTTTATCGTGCTTTGTACACATCCTGCCTTCCAGGTTCTCCACAGGGTCGATCAGCTGATGTCTTTTCAGACCTGGCATTGTCAGATGAGGCTCCAGGTGAGTCTCACAGTAGGAGGCCAGACACACCAGGCAGGACTTCAGGGCCTTCAGTTTGGCTCCAGTGCAGACGTCACAGGGAACTTCTCCTGGTTTGGCGGCTTGTTGCTCTGAGCTGCTGCTGCAGGCTTTCTGTTGTGCCTGAACTGAGCAGCCATCAAAGAGATGAAAGTGTTGACCTGCAGCTCAGGTCTGGTGTAGAAAAGCTTGTTACAGTTGGGACACTGATAGGGGACATTAACGTTCCAGTGTTCAGTGATGCAGGCGTTACAGAAGTTGTGTCCACATGGTATGGTGACTGGATCAGTGAACACATCCAGACAGATGGAGCACAGAAACTGATCTTCAGTCAGCAGACAGCTGGCAGCAGACATATCTACACTCTGAGGACAACAAGTGTGAAAAAACAAAACTGTTATATCTTTAGCAGCAGCAACAGTGTGTCAAGTGTTGTTTACACTCTGTGGGTCTCTGTGTGTGTGCCATCATCATAAACCTACTGTAGAGGAACCACTACAGAAGAGGGTTTGAGTACTTTAGAAAGGTGATCACAAAATATAATTTATAAACACAGAGTGCTCCATTACTGTCACATCACATATTAAATAATAATACTGCTACCCTGCTGCTTATATATTGTTATTAGAGTGAATTTATATAATTTGTAAGGAGCCTAAACATTTTTAATTCCACTTTAATATTGAACATATTACTATTTACTGTGACATATTTGGACCTCAGTCTCAATGTGAGTTGAACTTCCTGTCTGAGTCGAGCTGAAGTGTTTGAGTTGAAACAGTAAATATTATCAGCTGAACTTCCTCACAAAGACAGACAGCAGGAACTACAGAGACAGTGACGTTTAGAGGAAAGGGTTTGAAGTTCAAGGATATTTACCAAAGTACAGAACAGTTATGTAAGTGATAAAACATCAACGTTGTACCTCTATACTCAATAAATACATCCACACATTAAATCAGATGCTGTTCTCTGTGTTTGGACAATCCAAAGGGAGCAGCAGCTAGGCTAGGTAGCTTCTAGCAGGCCTAGTTTATCTGCTGCTACTTTGTTCTTTGTTCTGGATCCTGGTTTGAACTCACTTTTTACCAAATGTTGAGTTTCTCTGTAGAACAGTGAACTCACCAGAGTTTGTCAGAGACTCTGTTGTTGAGAAGAAGCTGCTGGATTCAGTTGAATGTTTCTTTAGAGAGAAACAGAGACTTGTCTCGACTGCAGCTCTGCTGTCGCTGAGACTAACTTTCACTTTCTCTTCAGGAGAAGTGGCTCAGCAGCTCTCCTCTTTCACAGTTGCTGCTCCTCTCAGTGAAGCTCTGTGAGTGAGCTTTTACTGCCTCTTTGAGGAATACCCCGTTTGAGTTTTTCCTTCTTATTCATTTTTCCTTGTTTGTGTGTGTGTGTGTGTGTGTGTGTGTGTGTGTGTGTGTGTGTGTGT